AAGCATATCTGAAACTCTCAGTAAATAGGTTTGCAGAGGCACACTAAAACTAATTCAGTTCTGCAAAACACTTCCAGCATGTCTGGATGAAGGTGCAGGATGGAGGGTGCCTTTTCCTTTCTTGTGGATTGAGCTCATCCTGGCCTGGTAAATGAGGTGCCAGATACCTTGGTGCAGGACTCTATGCATGATGCACTTAAGGTGGAGGGTCTGCGGGTTACAGGTTAGCTAACGAGTAGAAATGGAAAGGATGTTCCCCGTATGCTACAGTCTGCTTTTACCGTGCCCTTCCTGACCAAGCTGTTCTGAACCAGCAGTGGGTATTTACAGAGCTAATAACACACATCCGTCACACTGACACTCGGGTGGATTTCTCTAGCTTAGCTTTCGTGCTTCTATTTGCTTCCCTGGACCTGCCCCAAAGTCAAAGGACGATTCCCACTGACTTTGGATTGGGCCAGTCGCATCGTTTGTTCCTTCACACACATGCATGCACAAGCACCTGAGCCACAATTGCAAAGGTTAAAAACACCTGACAAAAGCAGGTTAAAGATCCCATAGATGTAGACGTGCCTCCCAGTCTTATTTTGCTTCCTAAGATGCACTTGAATTGCATATTCGTTTGGCTGTGAGCAAGCTTAACCATGTGCTATTTTACCTTCCTTTCACAAGCAGGGGCTTCCCAATGCCGTACTTTTCCCAACCCCAGTCCCTTCAAATCAACAGGTAAAAGACCACCTTGGCCAAAAGCAGTGGGAGTGTTTTCAGGCGCAAACAGAAGTGCAGCTCCTGGGTCTAACTCATGGCGCGTCACAGAAAGCACCAGGAGTTAGACCGATCCTTCCAACCTAATAGACGTTAGCTCGTCGCACAGCTTTAGCTCAAGCCAGATCAGAGCCATCCTGCTCTCACTGAAGTCCGCCTGAGTTTTGCCATTGACTTCAGTTGTTCAGGATCAGTCTCTAAAAACTCCTGCTTTGTTTTATACCTGATGCAGGAGGAGGAATTTGTCCACTGAAAGATAAGCTAATGGACCTGCTAGCTGAGGTGCGCCGAGTTTGACCGGAGCAGAGTCGGTCAGGAGATTGATAAGCACAGCGTCTATAGCACATTTGCAGTCCATGTTTAATGGGTAGGTTTAGTTCCCCCGTGTGACTCATACCATCTATTCCTTATGCAGTTCGATCCAGGCCAGAGTGACCTTATGTGATGGTTGCTATGTACTGGTACTGAGTCTGCTGGCAGACTATCGAGCAAGCTGAAAATAGCTAAAACGCGGGATTTTGAGCAAATGCTGCCCTGTTGTGTTCAATGCCTCTGCTCGCCAGCTGCAGCTTTGTCGGCAGAGCGTGGTTCTGCTGCCTTGCCAGGACCTCGTTTGGGGAATGGTATCATTTCGCCGCTGGGATTTTTAACCTTGCAGAAAAGCAGAGGTTTCATAATCGCCACTGAGGCTGCAACAATGCTGTTCATTAACCTCCTGGAACTTCACAGCTTTCCCTCATTTCCATTCAGCAGCAGGACAAGCACTTCAGACTGGCAGGGAGGGATGGGGGGGCCATGCTCTCCTTTTGAAAGCTAGGCTCTGGCCCCGTCTCTGCTGCCATGCTTTCGTTTTGAAAGCTAGGCTCTGGCCCCGTCTCTGCTGAGGTCTGCAGCTGTGTTGGAAATCATGAAATCAAAGCGACGTGGAACGAGGCTCTGATTTTACAGCAGCTTGCATTATTAAAAAACCCTCTTTGGTTCCTACCTCTGCTTGTTCTCCATCACTGTTGGCTTCTGCATACAGTATAATGGCATTAATAATAACACTTAGGCAACGAGCTTCTTGTGAGTGCCTCAAAGCATTGCACAACCCTTCAGGAAGCCTCGTTATGCTCCATGCTGTTGATATTATTACTCCATTTTACAAATGGGCAATGAACTTGAACCTGTCCTGCTTTAGGAAAGCCCCATAGATGCCCAGCTGCATCCTTTTTTGCTCATGGGGCTGGCACCTGGCACCTGGCAGACTCCTCAGTCTGATTCTACTGCCCTGCTAAGACCTTGTTTGGGGAATGGTATAATTTTGTCTTTTGGATGTTTAACCTTGCAGAAAAGCAGAGGTTTCACCAGCTATAACACTCTGTAAAAAGTGGCAGTGCCAGCCAGAGACACTTCACTCTACAGAGTGGATTCAAGTGCCCGGGTCTGGTTTCTGGGTCTATCAGAGAGACCCCAGAATAACTTCTGGCCTAGTGGTTTTTACCTGGCAGCCCACATGCATCCGAGCAGGGGCTCGAACCAGCAGCTCGGGGGAGCGCTCTGACCTGCTGGCTCTCCTGTCTTGTCGGAGCTGTATTTAGTTGTCTAAGTACATTATTTCTTCACGTTACTACACTCACTCTTT